GTTTAGGGTTTAGGCCAATCCCTCTAGAGTGACCGCAAGTAGGGTTTTGTCAAAACTGAGTTTTGGAGTGTTCCGGCTTGTCCTTCTCGTAGTACTCAGGGTTTCGGGTTCAGGGGCTTGCTGGTTTCCAGCGCAGATGGGATCTAAGGCGGGTTTAAGGCTCCGGTCCTTGTAGATGAGGTTGCGCAGGGAGCCGGCAGGGGCTTGTGCCGGGTCGGTGGGACCGAGGAACTTGCCTCGGAAGTCCTCCCACTTCATCTTGTCAGCGGGCCACTCCACCTCGTAAGGTTCTTTAAGGCTCTATGCTACGGCTTGTAGCGCTTGGAGGGCTTAGGGCTGAAATTTCCGCTCCACCTCGTAGTAGTAGATGCTCGTTCCTGGCGCGGTGAACTTCGAGCGCATGTTCATGTAGAAGCCGTTGATGACGTAGATGCTGTCAACCTTGCCACAGTAGAAGCCGCCACCGAACTTGATGATGGTCTCGCCCTTCTTGAGCGCGTCGTACTTCTTTCCCAGCTCGTCGGGGCTGATTCCCAGCTTCTTGGCACCATCCATGGCGTTGAAGACCAGGCCATCTTCCATCACCTGACATTTTGAAGGGCTAGCCTTCCATTTATAGGGGTTCTGGTCAGTATACCTGGGGTCTAAAGTGGGAGCTGCATTCTGCAACTCCTGCCTTGCTCCAGGCGACGCCGAACTGCTTCTCGAACTCCGCCTGAGCCTTCTCCTGCACGGTGAGTTCCGAAGGCTTCTTCATGACAGCCTTTGCGGCGATGGCGCCGTAGTGGATGTCAATGAGCTTCTTCTTGTCGATAACTTCGGCCTTAATGGCACCCTCGCTCTTGATGGTGAGGCCACCTTCCGTGAGCTTGTCCTTCACAAGCGTCTTGACGTTGTCAGTGACGGCGTGGGGCTTGATGAACACGAAGGCCGTGTGCATCTTTGCGCCGGCCTCCACGATCTCAGCGTTGAGGCACTCCCCGGTCGTCTTCATGATGATGTTGGTGACACGGTAGGGGTCGCAGTTGGCTGCAGGCCGACGATCCTCCATGTAGCCACGGCCAGCCTTCTCGGCATCGCGCGGGATGCGGATGGAAGCACCGCGGTTGGCGACCCCGTACTTGAAGGTGTTGATATCGCAGGTCTCGTGCTTTCCAGTGAGGCGCTTGTCATTGCCCTCGCCATACTCGGCAATGTGCTCCTTGGCGACCTTGCCGAAAGCCTCGCACACCTTGATGATGGTGTCGTAGCCACCAGGGCTCCTCATGGGCGTCACGGAGAAGTTGGTGTGGCAGCCAGCGCCGTTCCAGTCACCCTCCTTCGGCTTCGGGTCGAAGGAGCAGACGCAGTCGTGCTTCTCGGTGACCCGGAGCATGATGTAGCGTGCCATGGTCAAGTGGTCACCCATCTCGATGCCACGGCAAGGGCCAACCTGGAACTCCCACTGTCCCGGCATGACCTCAGCGTTGATGCCCGAGATCTTGACGCCGGCCTCCATGCACATCTTGTAGTGCTCATCCGCCACAGGGCGGCCGATGGCCACGTTGTAACCCGCACCTGTGTAGTACGGGCCCTGGGGTGCCGGCTCGGAGTCGTCCTTGTTGAAGCCCAGGGGTGTCTTCGCCTTCTCACCCACACGGCCGGGTTTCATCAAGGTGTACTCCTGCTCGATGCCGAACCAGGGGTCCAGCGACTTGTACATGTCCATGGTCTCCGCACAGGTCGCGCGGGTGTTGTTCTTGGCGGGCTTGTCGTCCCAGGCCTGCCAAGCATCGGCCAGCACCATGACATGGGGATAGCCGCGGAAAGGGTCGTTGAAAATGGCACGGGGCTTCAGAAGCACCTCCGAGTTGTGCCCATCAGCCTGGCCGGTGCTGCTTCCATCGTAGTTCCAGACCTTCAGGTCTGTGACTTTGAGAGGTCGGGCAGTCATGGTCATGGTCTTCGAGCGGGTGACGCCATCGGCATCCAGCCACACGTACTCGGCGAGCACACAGCGGCTGAAGCTGCGGAGCTTCGCCAGGGCCGAGGCGCCACCGTCCTTGCCGGTACGCAAACCCTTGGGCTCGGCATCCTCCTTGGGCGCATCCTTGGTCTTTGATGGGGCGGACTTGGCTTTTGCCGTCGCCTTCGCCTTGGCCTTCGCCTTGGGCTCAGGCTTTGCGTCCTTTGCTGGCTTGGCCTTTGCCTTACTCTGTCGAACTTTCACGGGCTTGCAATGGTTGTCGAAGTACTCCTCCAACTCCTTCTTCTTGTAAGTCCCCTTGTAGTGTGCCATGAGCTCCTTCAGCGTGTACGCCTCGCCGGTCGCTGGGTCGACTTTCTTCTCAGCCATGCTTACGAAGAGGGCTTCGAAAGAGAGCTTTCCAGGCTCAGAGCGGGAGGCTATGCACGCCAGTGGCGGAAGTTAGGCTCGAGCTCCAACAGCTTCGAGTTTTTTGGGCGCCAAATCAACTTGCGCAGTTCTCAGTCATTCGACGATTGGTGAGCCGCAGACCATGCACCGACACTCGTGATGCTAGTTGGTCTCTAGCTACGAGAGCTACAAGAAGTAGGAAGTCTAGGCTAAAAACAAAACCCTCATTTCCTCAATCCTTGGCTGTCGGGAACGAAACGGAAACCCCCAAGCAAGGACAGCCGTAGCCAGGAAGCTGCTTCAATGCCGGCGCATCGCTGGGAGGCGAGATGATCTGGAAGTTCAATGACCTTTGGCTCTAGGCACCTACCCTCGCCTAAGCTGCTCAAGGCAAGAAGCAAGTATAATTACGCCTGTCTCGGTCGTACCTGTAGGCTTCAGTTTGGGGGGTGAGGTATGACACAGCAGCAGTGCGACCATCATCAGCCAATGGAGCCTCGAAGAACACGCCTAGTACCCTTATCCTATAGACCCTAAACCTAAACCCTTCTCGGCGAATTAGAACAAGAACCCCTAGAAGCCAGAGTCACTTCGAATCTCTAAACCCTGGCCCTCACCCCGCAACGCCTATTTTACCATATGTATATATATATATACATACGTAAATCTTATATATTTATATAAACCCTAAACCGTCGAACCCGAAAATCCAAACTTTGAATCTCGCAATCTCGGGGCAGAAACCCCAAAGACTCTAACACCCCAAAGCCCCTCAGACCCTAAACCTCCTCGCTGTCAACGCATATAACTAAGCCCCCCTAAACCCTAAACCCTAAACCCTAGGCCTCATATACTAAAGATCCTAAACCTTACTAGCCTCTGGCTTCCTTCTATAATAAGATCTTCTAAGGCTTCCTTGAAGCCCTAGAAGTGTCAATATAGGGGCCTTATCAATCAGAATAGGGTTTTGGGGCCCATTGTGCTATAAGTAGAATAAGGAACCCCCCAAAAAAGTGAAGGTAATCATTTTGGCCCCTATATTAAAGGCTCAGGGCCGGAGCACTCAAGGTGGTCCTCAATCGCCTGGGAGAAGCACCTCCCATGCGCCACCTGCAGGGATTTGCTCAGGGTCCATATTTCGGGTTTAGGATTTAGGGCTTAGGATGGGGAGGTCTTGCTTTTCTGTGGCTCGCTTTTCCGCACCCTTTGCATCGATGCGAGGGGACTTTAGCATGCTCAGGGTCTGTTCGAAGCCTAAACAATACCAGAACTTCGGGCCCTAGACCTCGATTCCAACGATATTATTGGCCGCAGGTCATAAACCGACTATGCCTGGGGTTTAAGGTTTAAGGCTAAGGTGTCTCGACCGAGCTCTCAGAAAATCATAAACATCTAGACTACATGTTCCAACCAAGCTTATAGACACTAACTATCTGAAACCCTATACCGTAAACCCTAATCCCTCAAACTTAACGTGGATCTTAAGTATTTCGCCTTTGTTGCGGCATATCCGAAAGCCTGAAACCGCTTTACATGCAACTTCCAATACGGCGGTGCCTCCAGCTTCCCATAACCCAAACTCTGCAAGCTCTACACTTCTAGTACTGAGCCAAAATACAGGAAGTCCTAAACCCAGACTCCGACACCAAACCATAACAAAAAGTTTCACTCGCTCCAGCCGCGAAAGCAATAATTAGGTGCTTGGGTCCTATACACAGAAATGTGGGGGGGGGGCCCTAATGGAAGACGCCTTCTTGAGGAACGCCAAACTCCGAGGAATTCCGATCTCCAAACATGGACCAGGGAGGGACCCTTCCAACAGGTGCCAAGTTGCACACTCCCAGAGACAGTTGGAGTTTTCATCGCAGTCCTGGCTGACCCTGAATTCAATGCCCTGAAACTGAAACTAACCAGCAAGCCGTGATGAACCTGGAGCCGTGCGACACCCTAAAGCCCCTACAGCCTGAATTGCCCCCAGATGTGCATATAGCGTGTATAGAGGTCCCTATACATGCACCTCAACCTCTATTCTTCCTAAACCGACCTCTATATTGCATCCTAAGCACCGGAACGCAACCCTAACTGGAGCACGGCATGCGCAAACAAATCCTTCAACCAGCTTATCGACATTTCCGGTGGTAGAATCTAGTGAAGCAGTGATGGGGTGAGGGAGAGCTGCAAACCTCGAGGAAAGCCCCCACCTCGTGCGGAGTCTCGACAGCACGTCTGCAAAAGGGGCACACGCAGCGCTGCGCTGCGACTTAGCGACTATAGTGTTGTAGCTCACCGGGGCCCACATCGCCAATGTGTGGCAGCCGCATATGCCCAATCCCAGAGCTTCAGGAAGCGAAGGACTTCAAGATAGACCCAAAACGCAAGGGTGCCCAACATGAAATTAGCACACACCCCGCTCTCAAACGATGACATGTTGTCATACATCATACGCCCCAACCCAAAACTTCAACCCAAGACCACACCCGTTGCAATCCCTGAACCACAAGCCCTAACTTCCCATAAAGCCAAGCAATATCTTTGTTGCCGGCATTGAAACATACTGTATTTTTGAAGTCACGCCCGATACGAAGAGTCGGGTCCTGCGGTCGCCATTGGGAGAAGAAGTCAAGCCATTCCTCCAGGGCCAGCGGTTGTGAGGATCGGACTTAGGTTCAGAGTCGTGGGTAGGGGTTCTGTGCTGGGGGGTGTCGGTAAGTAGGCAGCCGAGTGGTCACTGATACACTGGTGGAACTGAATATCGCTCGCGCAACACTATTTGTCACCGAAAACCATGAACCTATGACTAGACATGTCAAGTGTTTCGCGGGGCATGTGTTCGATTCTGTAGCCACAGTAGTTCGGAGGGAGCTCCCTTCTTGGCCAAGAGGCTTGCTGGCTTCTGCCGAGTCATTGTGAAGGGACTCAATTACACCACGAGAATAGCTACCGTTTCCAGGTAACAAAATGAGATTTCGTTTTCTGGCAACCTTAGACACGCTCCTGAAAAAGAACCTATCAGTGGGATACATCGCGAATGTGCGAACTACCTATCCTAGTAACTTGAAAAACATCAAACCCTAAATCCCTGAACCCCAACAAGAAACCAGCAAAAAGACCTTGAACAACAAGAATCGAGTCTAAGGGCTCCTGCCTTGTAGAAGCAGCCAGGTTGAAGCAAACGACCATCAACCGGCCGCAGCGTTTCCCCTGCGGGACCTGCTTTGTCGCCGGAGCCCTCCCCGGATCCCCAACCATCCCGCGACGCTAGATCATCGAACCTAGAGCCGTAAGCCCGAGATAGTGAACGTGAACCTAAGTCCCATGCACGACCCTGAGCCTTGAACCTGCGACGCTAGAGTCTTGCGAGCCACCCCAACGTCCACTACGTATGTACTGATGAGCCAAATGAAGTTCACAATCAGAGAACCCATATCCTGTGAACTGCTCCATGCCTTCCGATACGAAGGGCAGCATCTCCCTCATGAAAACCTCCGCATTCGTTTGGGGCAGAGGATTGAGGGTTTGGGGTCGAAAAGGGCTTTGGTGTCCATAATCCAGGCTGTAGGCGTTACGGTGGGATCTTCAGGAAGTGAATGTGTACTGCAGGTACCCTGACACTCAGAGTATGGTTCTGAGGTATGTTGCAGTACAGCTATATCGGAACTGTAAGCGGATGTCTGCTGATCCTTCAGACCACTGCATTTGGGTAGCGGGATGAGGGGGTGGGTCTGGAGGGCCCCGCGAAACAAGAGCACGATTTAACATGTAAAGCCGCAAATACTACCTCATGGTTTGTACACCAAAGAGTGGAATATATTCCCGTAACCTGCCAATTTAACATGTTGTTGGCAGGTAAGGGTTCAGGGTTCAAGCATCAGAAATGTAGAGTGTTGCAGTAAGGCCCTCAGAAAAGGATTCGGCTGATGGTAACAATGATGCTGATTTGCATTGTGCAGAACGCACGTAACCTTGAAGGGTTCTCAGACTTCTAGCTACCCTGTGGCCACCAGCTCATGCTCACCATCTAGCGCAGCAGCTTTACGGGTCCAAGAATCCAAGAACTCGAATACGGCAGAGTGAGGCCCAAAAGGTACTATATGCGAAAACCTTGAGCGCAAGGAAGGACATGTTCGATTACTTTGGCCTGTAACCTTGAAAGCCAATGGAATTGGCAGGGCTATGGGTGGATGCTGTTTCAAGCCCTTCTTGCCACCCTTTTCTTTCAATTGCGGAGCCCCGTGGTCATGCGAGCCTGCTGCACTGAATAAACCTACCAGCCCTGGCCCAAGTCCTACTTGATACCCTCAGTGCTAAACCCGAAAACGCCTGAACAAAAAGAAGACCCCTCTGAACACAACACGAGAAATGCAAAATCCCGGCAGGTGCCAACTAGTGCACAAAGCACCTTGACGGTCTTTGACTCCATAAACCATATCTCCGACTAAGCCTCTCGATATACATACATACACACATGCATGCATGCATGCATGCATGCATGCATACATACAGACATACATACAGACATACATACATACTTACATACACACACTAATAATCTCGCCTTGAATTGGTTTGAGTGCAACGATGTGTGTGTGTGTGTGTAGGAACATATGTATGTATAACATACATACATACATACATACATACATACATACATACATACGGCGTATGCTTGTATTGCACATATACATATACACACACTGTATAGATACATGGACGTTTATAGCGTACGAGGAAGAGAAATGAGATCAACGACGGCCACATAAACACTCATCGTATGACGCAAAGGTGCCATACCCAGACCGGAGTTCATGCTGCCCGTGCCTGGGATTTCAGGTTCTCTAGGGTCTATAAGTCTTAGGGTTTAGGGTTGAGGTTTTAGGGTTTGGGGTTTAGAATTACTGTAAAGGTGCTCATACTCAGGGCTACCAAGTATAACTTTTGAAGGGCTCTCTGGTGGTTGTTCGCAAGACGCCGTGAAACCG